AGAAGTATATGGAAAAGGTTTGACAAGGGAAGTCTTAGGGCAGCTAGGCGGCCCAGTGGATAGAGCACTAGTCCTGAAGTCAGGAGGATCTGAGTTCAAACGTGGCCTCAGACATGCACTAGCTGTGTGACCCTGGGCAAGTAACTTAACCCCAATTGCCTCCAAAAAATAAAAGTCTTAAAGCACTCTAGAAATGCAAAGGCATTGTGGGTATGAGCTGCCAGGACACTGCAGGCAACCCTTTGGGGTTTACTGTATGATCTTCAGCAACAATCCCCAAGTCCTACTGCATGCTGGACCAGTACTAATGGAACAAAAGACAGAAGGAGTAGGGAATGACCGAATATTGGAATTCCCAGAGGGCAGGAGTCAAGGGCAGCAGGGTCATGTTGTGGAGCGATCACTGGGCTAAGTGCTGGAAAATCAGTTTTCTAGTCCTGAATTTACCTACCAGTTTAACTATGTAAGCTGGGGTAAGTCATTTCTCTTTTCTGAGCCCCAGTTTCCTCACCTGTAAAATAGAGAACTACTCTGGGAGGTAGGTGCTATTATTGTTCCTATTTTACAGATAAGGAAACTGAGGCAGAGGTTCAGTGACTTGTCCAGGGTCACACCGTATCTCATTTACATGCAATTCACTTGCACGTCATGGCATCACCTTCCTGATGCCACGGTCCTCTTCGAGAACAAAGGACAAACAACAGCCACCAGCAAACTGCCTAGATACTTTTTAAAAATGATAATGTGTGGGTGATTTCACTCTCTTCACCCCTACTTGGCTCTGGATCCGTAAGCCTGCCCTTGGCACTTAGTTACAGGTCTCCCCCATATTCTCTTCCCTTCTCAGAGGAAGGAGGGGGACTTCACCTGAGGAGGCCCAGATGGACCACTGTCCATCTGAGGGGTGGCCAGACCCTCAGCTTCCTCAGGCTCTAACCCCACATCTCGACATGAAGAGCACCCTGAAGGCCTCTGTCTGCCCTCCCAGTGACACAAGGGGTTGAGTCATCTCAAACCAGCCTTTTACCCAATCTCCCTGGTCCTGCCATACTGGTGAACTCTCTAGTTCACTCAGCACTGCCCAGGCATCTGGGTTCCCACAGTGTGCCCTGGGGCACAGCCCTTCAGGGGGGAAATAAAATCCCAGAGATGACTCAGAAAGGGGCCAATCAGAACCATGCACAGGAAGGCCCCGTCACCACAGGTACCATTCGCTCCAGCCTGGGTTCCCAATTATTTCACACACTCCTCACACCTGTGACCTACCCATAGCCTCTCTTTACTCTTCCATAAAGGGCTGTAGTGCAGATGAGGTTCAGCTCAGAAACAAGTTGCTCCCTTTTAGTGCCTCACTGCGTAGCCCTCTGTTGATCCATTTGGCTCCCTGTTGACTCAGTTTCCCCCTAAGAGCACTCTTCTATGCTTTCAGCATCAGCATGGTTCAGTAGCAAAAGCCCTGACTTGGAGCCAGAAGTCTTCGTTTTGTATTGGAGCTCCAGGAGAGAGTTAGTGAGGTACCGTGGACAGAGTGCTGAACTGAGAGTCACAGGGTCTGGGTTCTAAACCTATCTCTGCTACTTATTACCTGTATGACCTTGGACAAATTGCTTAGCCTTTCTGGGCCTCAATCTCCTCATCTGTAAAATGAGGGAACCGGAATAGGTAATCTCAAAGGTCACTTCTAACAAACTTTGAATCTGTGATCCTCTGATCCTCCTACGTTTGGCCATTGTCATAAATAACTGCAGGAAACAGTGTAAAAAAATTATATATATATATATGTGTGTGTATATATATATGTATATATATATATATATATATATATATATATACACATACACACTTGTAAAAAATCCATTATAATCAGGAACCCAAAGAAAGATGCAGACATTCTCTGACATCATGAAAAGGAGGAAATAACTGAGCTTTAGGAAACCCCCTAACCATTGATAATCCTCCCCCTCCCCCTTCCCCCAACTCACCCCTCTCAGACCTTAAATAATAATAGCACTTGGTTTCTACCTCTTTCACACCCTTACCACACGCTGTTTTGCACTGCCCTTCCAGTCTCATTTCATACCCAGACCCTCCACTCGCTCTCTGTTCCAGTCAAACTAGCCGGCTAGCCCTTTCTCGTGCAGGACGTTCCGTCTCTGAGCCTTTGCCCTAGCAGTGCCCCATGCCTGGAATGCTCTTCCTCTTCACCTCCACCTCTAGCTTCCTTCAAAGCACAGCTCTGATGCAGCTTCCTACAGATTGTTTCTGATACCCCAGTTATCTAATGCTCTTTCCTTCCCTCCCACCCTCTTGAAATCACTTTGTCTGCTTTGTATTTGGTAGCTATGTGGCAATTTTGGTAGAGTGTGGGCCTTGAAGTCAGGAAAACGGTTCAAATCTCACACACTTCTTATCACTTGACCTCATTCAGCCTCAGTTTCCTGTCCTGTAAAATGGGGTTAATAATAACCCTACCTAATAGTGTTATTGTGAGGATCAAGTGAGATAAAATTGTAAAGTGCTTTGCAAACCTCAAAGTGCTATATACTATAAATATAGTATATATGTATATATATAATGTATATATAATATATAGTGATATATAGCCTGCATATAGCTATACATTATATATAGCTATTATTATATTATATGTATTAATATTATACTTACATAATATATTATACATATATTATATATTACTTGTGTATAAATTGTATCCACCAGTGGAATATAAGGTCCTTGAGGGCAGAGGTGACTTCTTGTTGTGTGTTTGTATACCTAGCACCTCACACAGTGCTTAACATATAGTAGGTGTTTTTAAAAATGTCAACATGCCTAACACATAGTAGATGTTTTTTAAAATGTTAAATTAAATTGAATTGCATTGGGGATGAATATAACATACTTGGGGAGGACAGCTATCCATCTATGAGGTGGCACCAAATGTAAAAAAAGAAAAGCACTCATGTTAGATGAAAAATTAAATGGCTTTTAAAAAGCCATGTATCATCACCACCACCCCCACCACCACCACCATCATCATCATCACATTTATATAGTACTTGAGTTTTGTAAGTTTCTTTATATACATTATCTCATTAGCTCTTTACAACAACCCTATTAAATAAACACTCCTGGGATTGGTATTCTCTTTTGACAGATGAGGAAACTAAGGCTCAGAAAGGCTATGCCATGTGTTTATTGTCATATGACTAGTGAGTGTTGGAGCCAGGATTTGAATTCAGATCTTCCTGGTTCTAAATCCATCCATTCTACCTTACTACGTATCTAATAGAAAGACAGAAACAAACACCTGGGCTTCTGACCAAACTCCGATTCAGGAGTAAATCTGAAAAGTCAACGTGAACATCAAGGACAACTTTTTGATTAACACCCTTCCCCCGTCTCTTCATCCCCCAGCTGCTGCTTTCAAGGAAAACATGATTCTGAAATTTCTCTTCTGATTTTGGTAAGGTCAAAGCTTCTTTAAAGGGTAAATACACCCAAACATCAAACTCTCCAAAACCAAAAGGAGAAAGCATACATTGGGAGGTAGAATGATGTAGTGAAGAAGGCAGTGGACTTGGAGTTGGGAAGGCTTGTGTTCAAATCTTGACTTTTTGCTTGTTTTTTACATTTCATTTATTTATTTACAAATTAATTTTTTCTCAATTACGTGTAAAAACAATTTTCAACATTGAGTTTTTTTTTTAAATTTTGATTTCTAAATTCTCTCCCTCCCTTTCCTCCTCCCTTCTTGAGAAAGCAAGTAATTCGATATAGGCTATACATGAGCAGTCATGTAGAACCCATTTCCATCCTAACTGTGTTACAAAAGAAAACACAACCAAAAAAACAACAAGAAGAAGAAAAGTAAAGTTTAAAAAGAAGTATGCCTTGATATGCACTCAAACTTTATCAGTTCTCTCTCTGGAGGATAGCACTTTTCATCTTAAGTCCTTCATAATTGTCTTGGATCATTGCATTGCTGAGAGTAACTAAGTCTTTCACAGTTGATCATCGTACAATATTACTATTACTGTGTACAACACAGTAATTACTGTGGCTATTCCTATCTGGACCCAGCTTCTGTTCACTTCACTATGCATCGGTCCCCATGTTCTTCTGCAAGCAAACTGTTCGTCATTTCTTATAGCACAATAGTATTCCATCACAATCATACACCACAACTTGTTCAACCATTCCCCAATTGATGGGCATCACCTCAATTTCAATTCTTAACCACCGCAGGAAGAACTGCTATAAATATTTTTCATGTAGATTCTTCTCTTTTTTGATCTCTTTGGTATTCAGAACTAGTAGTGAGATTGCTACATCAAAGGATATGTAGAGTTTTATAGTCCTTTGGGCATAGTTCAAAATTGCTCTCCAGAAGGGTTGGATCAGTTCATAACTCCACCAACAGTACATTAGTATCCCAATCACTAGGTTTTTATTTTTAATTTAATGACTGTATTTCAATATAATTGGTTTTCTTTGCAATCCTGTGTATTTTATTTCATGCATCTGAAAACATTATTCTGAGAAGGGGTCCACAGGTTTCACCAGTTTGCCAAAGGGGTCCAGGACACAAAAAAGGCTAAGAACACCTGCTCTAAACAATAAAACCACTAAAGGCTTTGTACCCAATTAATACAGAAAATGGAGCCAAAACTTATTTGAAGAGGAAAGTAATACATCTCCATCTTTGTGGTAATTATTCCATCTTCAGATGCCTCTAAGGTATCACCTCATTACTTTTTCATCTGTAAATGTGTGAAACTCAAGATTTCTTTGGAAGCTTATTATTGGCAATCAATTGGCATTGTTCCTCTTGATTTGGTCAGGGTGTTTCCCCTGGTCCCCTGCAATGAAACTTAAACTCCTGAGGTCAACCTCAATTCTTGGATGGTTTGATTTCTGGTCAACCCATCATGAGACCTGTCCCCAGAGACTCAGGTGAATGACAGCTTCAAGCAGACAAAAAGACGGGGAGACCAGAGTTTGTAAAAACGTATTTATTATCAAGGATGGTGCAGTTCTTTGCTGGCCAGAGAACTTCATGGATATTTTTGCTCCCTTGCTAAGGAAATGAGAACAGGAGAGCTCAGGAGCTCGGTTGCTCAGCCCAGAATTTACCTTCTCAGCAGGACTCTCCCTACCCCACTACCCCAAATCAAGTCTGAATATTTTAGGGCTTTGGGTACTAAGGGAAGGAGAAAAGACAGAGTGGGTAAATAAATCTTGCATAGAATCGAATATGATTTGACTACGAAGTTTTGACTCTGGGCAAGTCACTTTCATTGCTCCCCCACTCCATGCCTCAGTTTCCTTGCCTATTAAACTTTCTTTGCTCTTGTAGCTTCTGTGTCCGTTACTCCCCTCATCTTAGGGGCTCTTCCCCAGAACAGCTTCTGGGGAAAGTCTTTCAACATACTGGGTTGTTGCTCAGACAACAAATTCAAGGGCCCAGCTTCTTTGGAAGCTAAGACTTCTCAAGAAACTAGCCAAGGACTAGGGGTAGCCCAGAGAAAGGAAGATGACTGTGGTTGTGCAGAGCTTTGAAAACAAGAAGGTGATGGGTGCCTGACTAATTGCCTCGGTTTGATCCACTGCAGCTATGCCTGACCTCAGAGCACCTCACAGCACCACAAAAATGCAAAGATTGCCATGGAAGGGAGGGTGAGTGATGAGTGAGGAGCTAGGCAGGAAGAGGGGAATAGAGCATAGGGCAGGGCAGAGATTGCAGTCTCCAGCCAACAGTATCAGTCCTGTGGGATTGGGGATGGGAGGAGAAGGTGAATTGGAGTCACACTGATCTCTAAGACTCAGGGCCAAACCAGAGGTGGGAGTCTGGCTTGGATATTCTGGGATATTCTAATCAAATGAGATAACATACATAAAGCACAAGTCAGTATAAGGCACTTTTTGCATACCTTAAAACATGTTATGAATGCAGTCTGTTATTGTTAGTGGTTATTATCATCTTCTGACTCGGTCTGCCGTTTTGTTAGAGAGAGAAGTCAGAAATGAAAGTATAGAGAATGAAATTCGTTACCACGGCTAGGGTAATGCTACAGGACTTCTGGGTGTAGGATTCTCTGGGTCAGTTTTTTTTCAGTACCAGTGACAAACCTCCTCTTCAGCAGAAGGGACAGTGAAGAGAATGGCCCCTGGGTCCAATCAGGGACTGAGAGGAGCATGCGGCCCAGCTACCTGGGCTGGCAAAGGGTGCCCCTTGATTGGTTTCGGAGCCCTGGAGAAGTACCAGCTGAAGGGCAGGAATCCATGCAGAGAAGCTGCCGCTGTTTGCTTTGAGAAAAGACATCTGGAATAGAGGAATAGCCATCCTGCTCGCCCACCTGTTACCTGCTCCTTTCTGTTCCTCGATGCTCCTGCTTCCTACAGCCCCTCCCCTTTCCCTTATGGATTCTGCAGTAAGGAAAGTCTAGGGGCCAGGCGGGTGTTGCGTCCCCGTCCCAAGGCCCAGCCTTGGAATATAGAATTGTCCCCGCCTGAGAGAGATGAGGCGGAGCTCACTCTGCTGGCCAGAGGAGGGCGGGTCCTCCTGCATGATCCACGAGCCCGAGCCCGGAAGGATCGATCCAGAAGTAGGTAGATGATGGGGTTGGCGCTACTGTTGACAAAGGCGAGGCAGGTAGAGAGGGTGAGGCCCCAGCGCAGTGCCAGAAGCAATGGGCAGTCTAAAGGCAGAGCCCTCAGGTGGGCAATGTGGAAAAAGGTCTTCAGGATGCTATAGGGCAGCCAGGAGCAGGTGAAGGTGCCCACGATGGCGAAGATGATCCTGAGGGAGTTCTTCCGGCCCCGGCCCAGCTGGAGAGGATTCCAGAGACGTTGAGAGATGAGGGAGTAGCAGAAAAATATGATCCCCAGTGGGAGGACAAAGGTGAGGGAGAGGACGAGGAGACTGAGCCCCTGGAAGATGTCAGCAGGGTCGTCCCCACACAGGCTGCCTGGACCCACGGGCATGGGCAGCAGTTTTCTGTAGACCAAGGAGGGAACACCAGCCAGGATGGAGATGATCCAGATCACTGCACAGGTCGTCAGCATGCAGCCCCGGTTCCGAAGAGGCCTAGCGTCCAGAAGTTTCACCACGGCTAAGTATCGATCCACACTCATGCCAGCCAAAAGCAAGGTACTGGCACATCGAGTCACTGCAATAATGAAACTGCTGACCTTGCACAGCTCCTCCCCAAAGATCCACTGGCCATGCAGTCCCACAGCTGTGGCCCAGAATGGTAGGGTGACCACAAACATTAGGTCAGCCACAGCTAGGTGGAGCACAAAGGTATCCACCAGCCTCCGGGGGCCCTGCTGCCCAGCCAGCAGCCAAACTACAAAGGAGTTGCCAATCAGCCCAGCCCCAAAGGCAGCCAAGTAGAGGAGGGGTATGAAGACGTGGCCGAAGGGGAGAGCAGGAGTGGGGCAGAGTGCTGGCTCCCCATAGTCCCCTGACCACTCGTAGTTTTCATCTCCCTCATCAGGACTGGGGCTCCAGGACTCTGTTGTCATGGTGGCCAGCTTGTCTAGATGGACTCTCAGCCCTGGAGGACCCAGAGGGCTTCCAGGAAATCCCTGTACAACCAGGCTTAGATTTTCTAAGATGATGTCTGGAGCAGCTAGTTAAGATGTTTGCTTCACTGCTCATTCCCCCGACACCTCCCTTCCTGCTACCCCAGGTTAAAGAAGGTGGTTGGAGGGAGGGAGAGGGGTGGAGATAGAAGTGGGTGGAGAAAAAGCTTGTAGAAGAGAAAGATGAAGGGGAGCTAACCCAACCATGTGACTAATGAGGGCCAAGAGGAGATCTGGCCTGCAGGACCTTGGGATTCATGACCGCCACAAGGGGAGGGGGACTGAAGATGGAACAGTGATGAATTTTAGGGTTATGTCACACCTAGACTTAGAGATTGGAAGACTTTCACCCTGCATTTTCTCCACACCCTGCAGAAAGACCACCGTCAGTCAATTAAGCACTTACTATATGCCAGGATCTGTACTAAGTATTGGGGATACAAAGACATTTGAAAGCCAGCCCTGGTTCTCAAGGAGTTCAGTCTAACATCTAACAACGATGTACAAATAAGCTCGATACAGGATAAATTGGAAATAATCAGCAGAGGGAAGGCACCAGAATGAAGGGAGATTGGGAAAGGCTTCCTGTAGAAGGTGGGATTTCAGCTGGACCTGAAGGAAGCCAGGGAAGCCTGGAGGTGGAGAAAGGAAGGAGAGAATTCCAAGCATGGGAGTCAGCCATGCCCAGATTTCATTTTTCTTTCTTGTGGTTTTCCCCTTTTGTTCTGATTCTTCTTTCACAACATGACTAATGTGGAAATATGTTTAATTGTATATGTGTAGCCTATATCAGATTGCATGTCATCTTAGGGAGAGGGGAAGTGAGGGAGGGGGAAACATTTGGAACTCAAAATCATATAAAAGTGAATGTTAAAAATGAAAAATGAATGCATGAATGAATGAATGAATGAATGAATAAAAGAAAGTGCCCAGAGTTTGAGATGGAGTGTCTTCGTGGAGGGACGGCCAGGAGTCCAGTATCATTGGGAATGTATACAGGTTAAGCCTAGGAAGGTGGGAGGGATGGGTCGGGGGAGGAGGGAGAGTTCATTAAGGGCTTTGAATGCCAAACAAAGGTGATAAGGTGCCACTGGAGTTTATTGGGTAGGTGAGGGTGAACTGGTCAGAACTTCGAAGTGCTGGGAGTTGGGAATCCTGAGTTCTAAACCTTTACTTTGCTACCAGCTACCTTGGTATTGTTAGGTAATTCACTTTACCTCTTTATGCCCAGACATTATTGCTTATCAAATGGATATAAGGATCTAACCTTATTTGGTTGTCCTGAGGATCAAGTTAAATCACGGATGTGAAAAGAAAAAATCCTATGTCAGGGCAGTTAGGTGGCACAGTAGATAAAGCACCGGCCCTGGAGTTAGGAGGACCTGAATTCAAATCCAGCCTCAGACACTTACTAGCTATGTGACCCTGGACAAGTCAGTTAACCCTGATTGCCTCAAAAAAAAAAAATCAACTGTCCTCTGTTGAAATGTCAGGGACCCCTAATGTAATTGCTGGGTACTGTTGACATTTTTCCCATTTTTGAAGATGAGGAGCCATCATTTCAGTTAGGATTCCTCATGAGGTAGGTCGAAGAGAGGCACAGGGAATATGGCATAATGGAGAAAGCAGTGCATTGGGAGGCAGAGGGCTTGGAGCCGAATCCTGGCCCTTCTCTATATCACTTGTGTGACCTTGGGCAAGTCACTTGTACAGTTCCATTATGTGTAAAATGATGGGGTTGAACTGGGTCAGTGGTTCTCATCCTGTGGGCTTTGGAATGATTGCAAAGGATCCATCTCAGTCACTGACTCAACACAGCAAACAAGCAGACATTGCTTCTGGACTCTCACTGAATAATGTCTCACATACCCATGTGATACTTGCTACTTTTCAAATGTAGGCGGCTGCTGTTGCAATGAATTAGCATTCAAATTCATTAATGAATTAATATTATTATTTTATGTATTATACAATACACTATATCATAAACATATCAAATATAATAGATAAATACATGATACATTAAATATACATGTCAAATATAAAACAATACACTATATTATATATCAAATATTAAATATAAAAATATCACATTATATTCTAAATATATTAAATATATAAATATAACATTTATGTATTACATTATAGGTACATTAAATTTATATATTATATACAAAATATTTGTATATCATAAAATTATTGAAATAAATTCACATAAGCATGAATGAATTCATAGTAGGACCATAATGCTGGAAGAAACCTCAGAGAACACCTAATCCAACTTCATTGTTTTATAGCTGAGGAAACGGAGGCCCAGAAAGATGAAATGATTTGCCCAAAGTCACATGAGTAGAAAGTTGGGATTTGAACCCAGGTTCTCTAGGTACAAAGCATAGCCATTTTCCTCTAGACCACACTATATAACTCCTGGCTTTTGATCCTCATTTTTTTTTTTCTCAATCAACAGATTCCAAGAGTACAACTCCTATTGTTGTGTGGAGGGGAAAGGGGGTTAAGTCTTGTCTTGTTTTGCATTCTATGTGGTCCTTATACTGGACAAGGTTGAGAACCACTGGCCCAGATGGTCTGTGAGGTCTCTTGCAGCTCTGAATCCTGTGATTTTTAGGACTCTTAGGCCTCACCTTCTGTGTTTTACTCAGGAAATGGATTCCCCTGTTCACATCTGAGGGGCAGGATTGTTCCTAGAGGGGTCTTGCCTTGGCATTCCTGGCCCCAGGTCCATTTGCCACAACCTGAAGAGCGCTACCTTGGGAATCAAGAGGCCCTGGCTTGCAGTCCTAGCTTTGATGCTTACTTACTACCAGGGGTTTGCAGCTCCAACTGGCTTACAAGAGGCAATTATTTCATTTTAAATGCAAGCTTGGGAATAATTACAAATTAGGGCTTGATTTACTGTTTTGTTGATTGTTTAGATAAGAAAGTGATGGAGAAAATGCTAACAGTGAAGATTACTAAAAGTGTGTCAAGCATACATTTTTTCTTCCTGGAGAGCTGGTCTCAGCTTTGATGCTTACCACCTATGTGACTTTGAGTAGTTAGCATGAAAAAAGCATTTGTGAAATGCTTACTATGTACCAGTTGTCGTTCAGTCATTTTTCAGTCGTGCCCAACTCATCATGACCCCGTTTGGGATTTTCCTGGCAGAGATATTGGAGTGGTTTGCCACTTCCTTCTCCAGCTCCTTTTACAGATGAGGAAACTGAGGCAAACATGGTGAAATGACTTGCCCAGGATTATGCACAGCTAGTAAGTGTCTGAGGCCAGATTTGAACTCAGATCTTTCTGACTCTGGAACTACCACTCTATCCACTGTGCTACCTAGCTCACTATGTACCAAACATTATTCTAAACAAGTGTATAGGTGAAGCTAGGTGGTGCAGTGGATAGAGCACCGGCCCTAAAGTCAGGAGGACCTGAGTTCAAATCTGGCCTCAGACCAAACATTTGACACTTACTAGCTGTGTGACCCTGGGTAAGTCACTTAACCCCAATTGCCTAAAAAAAAAATAAAAAATAAGTGTATAGAAATATAAGTACAAGTGAGACAGTCCCTGTCTACAAGATGCTTACATTCCAGTAGAGGAAGACAATATAGATGGGCGAACAAGAATTGGAAAGAGAGGTAGGAGAAAGGCAAGGACGTGCTGGTAAATGTTTAACAACTGAATTTCTGGGTGAAAATATACGTACAACACACACATCTAATTGGCATTATTAACATTTTCTCCTTTACTTTCTTAATCCTAGACTATCAACAAAACAATAACATAAGCCCTGATTGGTACTTTGCCAATTTCTGATGTGTAAATGCTCACATTGAACATTTAACCATCAGGTTTTTTTGAGCTGGTTGGAGCTGGGTCCAGCCTCCCCCCTCTACCCCCAGGAGGTGGGATATAACAGGGGGGTGTGCACCTCAGGCATATACGCATGGTGAGCCCAGGCCTGGGTAAGATAAGAGTGAAAGTTCTCTGATTAGGTCCTCAAACCTGCCCAGGAGAAGGAGGAGGAGGAGACTGGAGGGAAAATGATATGTCTTGGTGATGGCCAGGAAATCACCACCTCTTTGAAGGAGTTGGGGAGGGGGACAGGTAGGGTAGGTGGCACAATGGATAGAGCTCTGGCCTTAGAGTCAGGAAGACCTGAGTTCAAATCCAGCCTCAGACACATAATACTTCCTAGCTGTGTGACTGTGGGCAAGTCACTTAACCCCAATTGCCTCACTTAAAAAAAAATTAAATTGCATTTTATTTTCAGATTCTCATCCTCTTTTGCCCTCCTCACCCCTTTCCTACCTTCAAGTGAGAAAGCGAGAGGAACAAGCCCCTGCTGCAGACCTTATAGTCAGACAAGACCAACGCCCACATTGTCCACGTTCAAAACAATGAATCTGAACTCTCCATTGGAAGCCCATGGGCTCTCCATCAGGATGTGGGCGCCATGGTTCATTTTGCGTCCTCTGGTCATTGTGTCGTTGGGCATGCCTAAGTTCTTCAAAGTGGATTGGTTTGTAATATTTCTGTTACTGTATAAATGGTTCAGAGAGCTTACATTCTGATGGGAGGGACAAAGTGCATGGAAGCACGATGGCCGGGGAAGGGAGTTACGGTCTGGGGAATCACAGGGACGGTGGGTGGAAGCAGCAGGAGCTCCACCAACAGGCCCTTTCTAGAGCAAACAGCAGCGCTGACACGGTTACAGTTCTGAGAAAGAGAGCGATGGAATGGGGGTGACACAGGTAAGGTGGGAAATGGCCAGGGTGTTCAGAACTGATTGGCTTTGCTCTCCATGGGCAAGGTGTCTATAGATCCAGACTGGGGAGTGAAATAGCAACAGGAGCTCCAGGGCAAAAAATGTAGTCCTATATGGGAGGCAGCTAGGTGGCACAGTCAATAGAGTGCCAGGCCTGGAGTCCAGAAGACCTGAGTTCAAATTCAGCCTCAGACACTTACTAGTTGTGAGATACCGGGAAAGTCACTTAACCCTGTTTCTTAAGCCTCAGTTTCTTCATCTGTAAAATGAGCTGGAGAA